TGATCCGGACATTAAAGACTTACTTTTTGGACAGCGGGTGTTGAGTTCAAAGTTTCTACCTTTTCTGTTCTTCTTTCCTATATTATTATTTCAATTCCTAAAAGCATAGCTTAAGCCTAGGCAAAAATCTAGTAGACATTTGCAGGTGTTACGATCATCTTATGCTTTTTTTTTAGCCTTTTTGGGTCACAAAATTTGTTTAAATGCGTTATAGTTGCTAGCTCATTTTCCATCCTTATTTTATCATGTTTGGCCAGAACATGAACAGAACAGAACAGAGGCAGAACATGTTATAGCTACAGCAGTGATTGAAATATGCTGGTGAAGATTCTCAGTCATCCAGATCATAGTCATTCCAAAAGAGTAAAAAAAAAAAAAACTCTAAAAAAAACTGGACTTTGTTTCCAAGTTTGAAGACATTTTGCTTCCCATCCAGGAAGCTTTTTCAATTCAATTTGTCAGAAATAACTTTGAGTTTGAGGCTTTATAGAGTGGACAAAAAACAACACTAAGTCAAAACAAGGCTTTGTTTTTCCTCCACTCTATAAAGCCTCATCTCAACACTGTGTCTGACATTTTAAATTGAAAAAGCTTCCTGGATGGGAAGCAAAACGTCTTCACACTTTTACTTTTTTGGAATCAGCGATTGAAATCTGTATGTTTTTTGTCTGTTTTAGCTCGGTCTACTCCAGGTTTGACAAAGACACCTCTATCTGCTCTTGGGCTAAAACCTCATCAACAAGGTGGATCAGGTCAGTGTTCTGATAAGTATGATTTTTTTTTTTTTTTCCTTTTTGAAACTCTTTTCCTGGTTTTAAGGTTCCAAACATGTACAATTCATTAAGGGACCTATTTTAGGGAAAGTACACAAATTGTCTCTTAATTTACATGGCCACAAAACCCATACGCAACAAGAGCCTCAACAAAAGCCGAGGAGAAGGATGGATGCGTCATTCATTTGCATCTGAAATGGACTGTGGCTGTGTTTTTCAAGTCCAAAACATCAGCTCTCCAGATTGCTCCTGGATACTTTTTAAGAAAAAAGGCTTGAAAGTTCAGTTGCCTTGGATTTAATTTTTTTTTTTTTTTCTCTGTGACTTTTAATATATATATGTGTATATATATGTATATATTCTCACATAAAACTAGCACAGTATTTCAGATGAAGCTTATTGTTCCTATTGTCAGGCACAGCGATGGTAGTGTGATGGCCTGGAACTGCTTTACCATTTCAGAACCTGGATGATGTTTTGTTATTGAACCATGACAGAATCCTCCTGCCATTAATTTTGTGACACTTGATGGTAGCTGTTCTTTCCAACGGGTACAAATCTATGTATTTCACATATAGGTCCTCCTCAAAATGTTATGATAAAGTTAATAATTTTTTCATAATGTAATGATAAAACTTAAACATTCATATATTTTAGATTCATTGCACACTAACTGAAATATGTCAGGTCTTTTATTGTCTTAATACGGATGATTTTGGCAAACAGCTAATTAAAAACAAAATTCCTATCTCACAGAATTTGCATATTTCATCTGACCACTAAAACAAAAATGTTCTAAATACAAAAAAAGTCAAATAATTATGTACAGTTATGCACTCAATACTTGGTCAGGAATCATTTTGCAGAAATTACTGCTTCAATGCAGCGTGGCATCGAGGCAATTAGAAGTGGCACTGCTGAGGTGTTATGGAGGCCCGGGATGCTTCGATAGCAGCCTTTAGCTCATCCACAGTGTTGGGTCTTGCGTTTCTCTTCACAATATCCTGCAGACTCTCAATGGGTTCAGGTCAGGAGAGTAGGCAGGCCAATTGAAAACAGTGATACCATGGTCAGTAAACCATTTACTAGTGGTTTTGGCACTGTGAGCAGGTGCAAGGTCGTGCTGAAAAATGAAATCCTCATCTCCATAAAGCTTTTCAGCAAATGGAAGCATGAAGTGCTCCAAAATCTCTTGATAGCTGCATTGACCCTACACTTGGTAAAACACAGTGGACCAACACCAGCAGCTGACATGGCACCCCAGACCATCACTGACTGTAGGTACTTGACACTGGACTTCTGGCTTTTTGGCATTTCCTTCTCCCCAGTCTTCCTCCAGTCTCTGCCACCTTGATTTCCAAATGACATGCAAAACTGAGCAACAGTCCAGTGCTGCTTTTCTTTAGCCCAGGTCAGGAGCCTCTGCCGCTGTTTCTGTTTCAAAAGTGGCTTGACCTGGGGAATGCGGCACCTGTAGCCCATTTCCTGTCTGTGCATTATGGAAAATAATGCACTATATCACAATATGTTAATATTTTTTAGAAAGACCTGTATTCCCAGGTTGGGTTTGATTGGCCTTAAAACAGTCATTTGAAAGAAGCATTCTGTTTTCATTCAGGTTATCTCTGTCTGATATGTGCTGGAGGAAATCATCTAAAACATTGAAAGAAACTGCACTGTACGACATATAAAGATGTTGAAATAGAAAATATATAAAAAGCAATTGAGATTAGATATCAAACTAAACGTACATCTGAAACGAGTTGCTGTAAGCCACATCTTGTCTTTCCCCTAGTGCTCAAAGTTGTTAATACCCCTGCAAAGGCTCTTACATTTCTGCTTTGAGCTCTTCTTTTCTTCTTTTTTTTCTTCTGCTTTCTGACTTTTACTGCTGCCAGACTCTGATTGTAATAATGCAGAGCAAGGTAGGAATATCCTGTTACATAATAACTTTAATGTCTTCAGAGCTTTTTGTGGTATTTAGCTACAAGTGAATGTTTCCTTTTTTTTTTACTGATCTGCTCCTGATTTTTCTGTTTTTCATTCTGTTCGATTATGTTTTGAATGTTTCTCAGATAATCGCAGCATAGGGGACTCTAGGCCTCAACTGTTCAGCGGTCCTCTGACCTCCAGCAGTCCTGTCCACACTATTGATGGGTGAGTGTTTACTCTCCCCTTATCTTTTCCACAGTGCATCATTTAATAAGCATAAGTTAGGTTTGTGTTCTCTGACTAAATTCTATAGTGTTTTGAGAGATTTAGCTTATTTTTCTGCCTCATTTCTGCACTCCTAAAATATTTCAACAAAATTTTGAGATTCATGCAATTTTATTACATAGTAAATACCATGTTACCTTTTTTTTTTTGCTAACTTTAACATAATTGATTAAATAATCCTAAAAAGATGACTACTACATTGTATAACAAAGCAAGTGTATTTAAAATACATAATCATCTGTTTTTTTATTTAGTAGTAATGACAAATTGTATTGTGCCCTTTAAAATACATAAATACAAATACTTAAATTAACTTTAAACAGTATGGGAGGCATTTACATGACATTTTTAGACTATTATTGAAAAGTTGCCCAGATATGTAGGAAGCACTCTGATACCATCTATAGGCCAGCGTGGTGTTTGCAGGGCTTGATATGAACCTTTGTGCTTCCTTGCCACTATGGCTGGTGGTTTTACAGTTGATAACAGCTCACCATTTTCAAAAGCCATTAACTTTGTTTTTGTGAAATGATGTTAAATCTTATTAAAACTGACTACGCTGTGCTAAAGTGTGTTTGAACTAGATGTAAAGCCTGCAAATGCAGGTGTCTGAATTTGTAACTGTCAATTGAAATTTTAACATTTGTATTTTTTCTTATCAACACATATAAATGTGTTGAGTTGGATATTTCATCTGTGAGAATAAAAATTTAGAAGTTACAAATACAAGTTACAAAGATACAACATACAAGTTCAAATCAAAAATAATTTAGTAGGAATCTACCGTCTCGGATGAAGAGGTTCTATTCCTTACCAGTTGGTAGCGGTAGTGTTCCTGAAGTTTGTTCAGCAAATGCAAAATGTAAGAAGAAGAAAATTATGAAAGCAGAACGGATATGAACAGATCAAACATTTCAAAAAACATATAGGGTGTGTCCTATTTCAAAGGCTGTGTCCTCCAAAGACACGGTCTACAAGGACTGGGTCCTTCAGACAGGAGGCCGTCTTGTTTTGTTTTTATGA